TTAGAAACATAATCACTAAGAAATGGGTAACGTACACACCCAAATGTCTGAATGAGTGAGTAATCGGGATTGTGAGAGAACAATTTTTGATATGGAGAAGCCCATTCAAGTACCGGAGTCGAAAGTCGATTGATCAAGTAAACGGCTGAACAAAGGGCTTCAGCCCACAAATGATAAGGCATTTGAGGAGTAAGAAGAAGAGTACGACCCATGTCAGCGATATAACGATGCTTTCATTCAGCCAAACCATTTTGTTGAGGTGTGTGTGGACAAGAAAAACGATGCACAATTCCATTAGTGGCACAAAATTGCTTAAATTGGAAGTTATCATATTCCTTACCCCCATCACTTTGGATTTGTTTAATGGACAAAGAGAATTGATTTTTGACATACATGACAAATTGGAAAAATGACCAAAGACTTCAGATTTGAGACGCATTGGAAAAATCCAAGAGAAGCGAGTATAATCATCCGTAAATAAAACATAATAACGGAACCCAGAAGTAGCAATAACGGGAGACATCCAAACATCCGAATGTAGTAATTCAAAAAGAGCAACAGAACAATGTTCTTTCGAAGAAAAATGAAGCTTAACAGATTTGGCCAATGCACAATGGTTACAAAATTGACTTGCCAAACATTTAGAATCTAAGAAGGACTGAGACACAAGTGTGCGAAGCACTTTATTGGACGGATGGCTGAGACGATGATGCCAAACAAAAGACGACACGGTTACAGAAGCAAGGGCAACCGGTGAGGTAGACAAGAGCGTTGGAAGAACAGGATAAAGACCATCTTTACATTCGCCTTGAAAAAGAAGAACTCCAGTTTTTAAATCATGAATTGTATAGCCCTATGGAAAGAATGTAATGCGAACATGAGAATCCTTAGTATATTGAGCAACGGATAACAGATTTTTATGTAAAGTAGGAACACGAAGAACATCGGAAAGACGGAAGACATAAGTACCAGAAGTGAAAGAGACATTACCAGAATGAGTGATGGGGCGGGAAGTGCTGTTACCAATAACAACTTGGTCAGAAGAAGACTATGGAATTGAGGTAGAAGCCGAGCATGCATCATGAGTCATATGATTGGTAGCTCCAGAATCAGAGTACCAATTAGGGTCGGTTGAAGAGGCAATATGCATACCAGCAAAAGCACGAGGATGAAGACACCGAGCAGCAAGATGACCATACTGGCGGTAATTCTAGCATTGCTGAAGAGGAAGAGGATGGCCTAAGAGGCCTTCAGAATGAGCAGGGTTGAGTGGCGGGTGGACATGACCATATCCCTGTGCAGAGGCAACAGCAGGAAAGCGAGTGGGTGGAACACGGGTTCGAGGGGTGCGGGGACCGCATGAATTATGGGCAGAGAGAAAAGCACTTGGTTGAGCATTAGGAGTCATCTGCATAGCCAACTCTTGCTGAGCCTCAAAGAATAAAAGATGAGCACGAAGATCAGAAAAACTAGGCAGCGACGGGAAATGGAGAATGGCTGTAACAAGCATGCCATATCCAGGACCCAAACCACGAAGAACAAAGGTGACCAAATCAGAATTGGAGACAGGGTCATGGATGGCAGTTAGTTGATTCGCTAGATTCTTAGCATGAGCAAGGTGGTCGGAGATCGACTTGGTACCTTTGGTGATGGAGAAAAGATGAAACTTCAGTTGAGCCCCATTAGCAAGAGATTGCTGCAAAAAGTTCTGTTAAAGACAATCCCAAATATCCTTGGAGGTAGAGAGACCAACTACTTGAGGAAGAATAGTTTCAGACAACGTGGCACGGAGAATGCTGATCAGACTTTGATCGGTTTGAAACCAAGAAAAGTAATTCGGATTAGGTTGGAAATCTGGTGATGTAGCGGGAGGGTCAGAGGACTTGTCAGAAGAGGTAGTGAGATCAAGAGTGGCAGGTGGACATGGGAAAGAACCATCAACAAAACGCCAAAGATTTTGACCAAGAAGGAAAGGTTTGACTTGGCTTTCCCAGATTAGATAATTGGTGTCAGTGAGTTTCATAGAAACAAGATGAGAAATGTTGGGAATGGAGAGAGGAGGAAACGTGGAGGAGGAAGCCATGAGAGAGAACAAAGAATGAGGATCGAACGAGGCTTGTTAGAAATGTGATACCATGTAAAAACTGATTTTCCTTAATGATTACACCATCAATATACAATATATATATATATATACAAATGAGTAGATAATACTCTACGGTTACATCTTAAAGATCATAAATATACACATAAATATGGAGTTACAATATAACGGACAATTGACCAATATTCTATAATTAGTGTCATTAACTATTGTAACTCCCTAACAGAATATATCAAGACTTTTATAAAGTCTTTTAAATTCCTAATTGAATACCCCTGGAATTATTAATTCCCTGAAACTCTCTCAAAATCCTAATTGAATACACCCCCCTAAGAGAACACTTCAAAACATTTTTTGTACATCCATACAAAAATATTTGCATACAAATAAAGAACTCACAACAATTCTAAACTACAAACAAAACAAGTTAAATGAATGGAAATTAAATTAGTTATTTAAGAAAATATACCTCCGAGATTAATGGCAACGAAATAGCTGGCTGGAATTTTTCAGGAGGAAGGCAGTTGTTGCAATTGTTTTACAACTTTTGCCTCCTTGCGTTCTGGTTAAATTCCAAAAAGTGAATAACACTTTGTACAACGAAAGTACCGTCACGCAAAACATGTAGATTCCATATTTTGGCGCCATCCACGTTGTACTTTGTTGTGTTTCAGCCCACCTTGCGCAACGAACCACGTTCCATTGTGCAAAGATATATCGTGCGACAAAGGTTTGTCATTGCACAAAGCTATCTTATGCGACAAAGCTTTGTCACGCATTGTGTGTGTGTATATATATATTTTTAATTTCTTCTTTCCATTCATTCTTTAATTTATTTTAAAAGACATACATACTTAATAAATCAAGAACTTATTTCATTAAACCATACATGCATAATTAATTAATATAAACATTTATTAAAATGTCATTAATTACATTCAAAATAAACATTAAGTACATATTTAATTATACCGTTCATACGTAAAAAACTTCAAATTTATATGTCATTATTTAATAAGTGATAAAATTAAAAAAAAAACACAATTCTACTCTGCCGCTGGTTGGTCAGGTTCTTGCCATAGTTCGGCCGCACGTTGAATATCAAACTTCTAATCCCGAAAACGGGACTTGAATATGTTGTCAATGCACTTCATCAGATTTGGGTTACTTTGGTCGATGTCCCAATTAGGTTTTTATGCAAAAATAAATAAATTAAAATCTCGGTAATATATTAAATTTAACAAACATAATTATTATTTAACTAATTACTTAACACATACAGCTAACTCAGCAATCAAATATTCCTTCATCTCTTCGGGGACGGTTCTCCAAGACTTCCAATCCACACCACATTTGTCATCCACCAATACTCCAATGTCAGACCAAAACTTGGTGCGCATATCCGACTTCACAACCCCTAGTAATTCAGCAGAAGTGATTCGGTAGCGGCTCCCACCATAAGTGTGTCGAACCCGTGGTGCAGCTCTCTTCTTCTTGTCCATCAACAAAATATATATTTATATACTCAAGCTATATATATACTTTATACAAAATGCAAAATTTACAACGCATACCTTTTCCGAAACCTTCGCCATCGATTGTCTTTGACGAATGAGCACCACAGTCGCCCATTTTACCAAAATTCAAATAACAACTAGATTATAATCTAGAAAAAAACTAAATTGTTTTCGAAACAAATTGTGAGGAGTAGAGAGAGGAACTGCAAATTTATAGAAAGCCAGGGAACCTTGTGCGACAGAGGTTTTGTCGCGCATACTAATGCATTAAATACAATATTGATTCATTTGATTCACATGCATTGAATTCTTTGATTGAAAAAATTGAACATCGGTTTCTTGCCTTGTGCGACGAAGCCTTCGTCGCGCAAGTGTTTCGCAGGAAACATTTTGTCACACATTTGTTTTGTGCCAAAAAATAACTTACCCGTGTTTTTTTACTCACTTTGTGTGACGGGGTTTTTTGGTTTGTCATGCAAACCATCTTTCGCGAAGAATCTCTGCATCGCGCAAAACAACACCGCTCTGCTACAAAGGTGTATATTCGTTGTGCAACACCCATATGCACGACGAATGGTGCTTTGTTGCCCAAACATCTGTCACGCAAATGGTTTTTCCTAGTAATGTTTGTGATTGAAGCAGCATACAGATGTTTGTGACTGAAGCAGCATACAGACTCATGTTATGACCTAAGATAATTGCATATGATAAAAATCAAATTGAAGTGAAAATGTAAAGATCATTGCAAGAGTGAATCATTCTTCAGAAAAACCAGACAGGAATAAATTCATTATAAAGACTAGTAAACCCACATTCGTTTCTACAAGCAAGTATTCCTAATAAACAGACAAAAAATTCGTGAAAAGGGATACCACCATACGAGACGTCGTTCCGAAAAACAAAAAGACCGCATCATGAAAACCTCTTAAACCTTGTTTCTGCAATCAAGCCCTGTTAGACGCGATGTTCATGGATGAACCATGGGTCCAAGTAGATTATCTCGCAATGCGCTGAGGCATGCCTAAACCGGATCATGTTTTTCAATAGGTCTGAAGAACAATCGTCAAAAGCAGGCTTAACCGCAGTTTTCTCGAGCACAGGTGAACTTGAAAGTAGGAATTCAATGAAATCTAGTTCAGCTTTGATACCAGAGATGTTGGTTATTTTAACAAGTCGCAGTTGGGTCAATAGGCAATCTTGATTGTCATCTATGTTGGAGAACAATTCAGAAATAAACAAAAATAACAGAAATTCTAATATTTTATTAACCAAAATATACTTGCTATACAAAATGAAAATTACACAATAACTACAGAAATTAATGTTACTAACTTGATTACAGAAGGAAGAGGCTAGCATAAAAGCTATATCCTTCGAACAGTATTTTCGTCCCACTCCTGTGCTTATGGTTCTATAACATCTACTCGACCAAGATTCAACTACCTAATTCTACAACCCGGACTGGATTATAGAATTCTAGCGAATTTGCTTTGTGTGTTTACTCTCTGGAAATTTCGTACAGAAGCAAGGAGGAAGAAAAGATGTCTGGAATGGAACTGAGGATTTCAGTTATATAGGCTCTTTCATACTTCTTCAAATACTTTTAGGATGTATATGAAGCAAGAGTTGTGTCTATTAATCAAAACGTTTTTAATTAAAAACTTAATTCGAAAATTAAAACTAATTAATTAATAAATGGTGGCCCAAGTCTCAATTCCCATTCCAAGTGGTCCAACACATACGTAATATTGTAGAGGACAAAACATATATAAAGGTCATTGAGAATCTTGTTTTCTCCAATGTGGGACAAGAGTCTCAAAACTCTAACAATCTAACCAAGAGTTCACTTCTTCCTCAACAGACTGATCCTCATCGAATGCCTGCACAAGGTCTATAGCATCAGAATCATGAACTCTGACAAATCAGCTCTCTAAACTACATTACTGTAGAGCCACATTGGTTTGAATTTTTTTTTTAATTTTTTTTTTATGTACCAGAAGAATATTGGACGAATCAGTAGAGTAATACTCACGGCAATTTCGAGTTTTTGTAGAGCAGGAGTGCTTCTCAGAAGGCACTGAGCAGCTGAAACTTCCTTCGAAATATGAAAGGAGATGCTCATAGAAAGAAAATTCAGATACATGTATGGTTCTGGCAGCTTTACTAGCAAGTCACCATCCGCCAAGTACTGGAGCAGAATGGAAGCATCAGACTCAATGAATATGCTGAAACACCCATGGGCAGGTAAATGGTCATGAAATTAAAGTAGGAAGCCAAATAATCCATTACCGCTAAAAATTCAGACTGAATTGTGAGCCTTCGAATATGGAGCAGATGAGCAAGAAAATTGACCAAATAGCTAGAACTGAGAGGGCGAGTCCAGGTAAGGCCATCACCGACCAAATTAATGCAAACTACAGCAAGATTTAACGTATTCATAATACTAACATGCTCAAAAGAGCCGTCATACTCAAAGAATTTTGTTAAAGTCATCACATTAAAGCCATCACATTTTGTTAAAGTCAATCTCTCAAGCAGAGGGCAGCAAACAATCAGATTATCAAGCACATCTTGAACCACTGTAACTAGATCAAGACAAAGGACCTTCAATCTCCCAAAGCCTTTGAAGGTGGAAGGAGGTTTTAGCAAACAATTATTTAACTCTAAATGAACCAAATATTGATAAGAAAACAAACATGAAGGAATCTTGTAAGTGTCCCCTTCCAAAATTTCAAGCACCAACTCTTTGATAGCATTTCTTGATAGATGACGAATCCAATGATCAATAGCACTAGTGGCTACAATATCTGGATGAGAAAGCCTGAATGTGTGTATGGAGCCAACATGAAGTACCAGTACTTGATCTACAATGCTCTCAATAAATGTACGGTCTGAAGTCGAGAAACAATCAAACACAAGATGTGGAATCATAGCCGAGTTGAACCTCCATTTGCTTGACAAAACATTTGTCTTCACTGCCTCCTTAATAGGCAAACCTGACAAAATTTGTCCTATAACATCACTTGGTAAGTTGCTAATTCTGTCCAACTCCATCTTTCTTTTCAAAGAGGACTCGGACTGATTTCCTTGTTTCATGAAGTCATTAATCTAACACAATGGCATGTCATGTCAAAATATCATTTATAATGTGTAACCTTTGTGTGTTTAAGTGTGAACACAGAGAGAGAGAGAGAGAGAGAGAGTAGTATCTAAATCCCATTCAATCGTGCACAAAAGAATGACTCTCATATTAGATCAATATTGACTTCTCTTTCGAACATGACTCCGATGCTTTTCTTTGCTTTTTCTAAAATATTCAGAGAGTAATACAATGGCTTACATATCAGTTTTAATTCAATCAGATTGGCTTAAGTCGAGATAAGATAAGTTTTCTTTCTATATGATAAAGACTCAATTTTTGGTAGGGTTGCAAACTTACAATCCAGTTGGAAATGAAATTGTAGTGGGTCGAGACTACTATATATGGAGCTTAAAATAAAATTAGGGGCAGACGGTAGATGAAAAACTCAAGAATAGAAATTTTGAGCTTAGCTAGAACGTGAAACTGTTTTCATGTGAAGTAACGAAGGACTCAAAAGGAGAGACGATTTCCATAATTTCAATCCACCGCGAGAACAACCAAATCCACAAGCACACAAAATTTCAGATGTATTTCACTAATAAAAAACCATGAGCCGCAACAATAATAATTGACTGGAAAGAATGCAAATTGCACGAAATTATGAAAAGAACTTACCGTCATTTCACTTCACTTTTGTTCAGAACAATGGGGTACCAAGCCAGTGAACCAAATGAGTTTCTTTTTCCCAAAATTGCTCCGAAGCGTCAAAAGCTAATTTAGATTAACTGATTCTAGAGGAGTGAGAGTGACAGAAGAGCCAATTAGGGTTTTGTACTATGGTGAAGTTAGGGAGCGAACGGAGATAGGCGGGAACATAGGTAAGCTTAACTTCAACCCTAACCGCATGAGTTTTTCTATTTAAACACCACACCTTATTTAAGTGCACTCCACTAATTGTTTTAATTACTAGCCTCTATCCTCGCCGCTTCCCACCAGATAGGCTTTTCTTTTAATCACGGGCTCTTAGGAGTTTCTATTGATAGTAGCTAAAATTTAACATCAAATTTTATAAATGTTTTTTTTATAAAATCCTTCAAAAATAACAGAAAATCCACTTTAAATAGACTTAAATACCCTCAAAATTAAAACCAAATAAACATAAGGATGCAGTTAGCAATGTAATGGAAAAAATTCATAGTTGTGGCCTCTTCATGATTACGTAGTTTTCAATGAGAAAAAAAGAAGTCAATTGGAATGAAGTCAGTGAGATTTCGCAGGTGTCTGTCTGTGATTGAACAATTCCTAGCTATATATAAAAACACAAATAATTCAGGAAAAAAAAATATCATTTGGTAGGCTATGTGAGTTGCTGATTGGGAATAATATTGTCGAATGTTAGACAACATTATCCATTGATGTGGTCATATTTTCAATTTTTTTTTTATCATATATTTCCTTTGGTTTTTGTATATTTGAATAGGTTAAATGCACTAAACTATATTGTTTTAATTTATAGGCATTCAATACTGGAGTTATATGGTGTCTAGAGTAATTTCAGTAGAGCAAGAGGCTAATTAGCTGTACAAAGACATGCATTACAGTAAGAAGACGAGATAGTTGATTCTGTATTCGGACAAGCCATTTATGTTCAAGGATTTGACAGGAGTTTTCATCTGCTTTATGACCTCTTTTACAATTCTATTCTTCTTGGAGTAAGAAGAGTTCAAAGTTTGAAGCAGTTGAGTTGCTTCCTTACGGCTCCCACTAGAATTCCATTGACCTCTCATGTTCAATGAGTTACAAATAAATCAGTAACTGACTTGCACAAGTTTGATATTACCAACTCGCCACGCACTTTGAGCAACGAAGTAGAGGAGATCTATTCAAGAGTCCTGGCTTTTTTTTTTTTGTGTAAAAGGGTTTTGGACTTTAAGGGTATTTAGGTCTATTCATGCAAGTTTTTTACTATATTTGAAAGTTTTTATAAAAAATTACATTCATGAAATTGAGTATTAAATTTTGTTTATTAATGATAAATACTCGGTCTAAGTACCTCTCTATCCACATTATTTTTGGGCGACGACCCCCATCCGGTGATGAATTCCAGGCTGTTTGATCTGACAACTATTCCACAATCGAAAGATATCTGCAAGCAAAAACCCTCAGCATTAGTCCCTACCTCGCACTCACCCCTGAACTAATTGATAACGACACAACCACAAAGAAAATTGAAATTCGTAACCAACGAAATCAAAGAATTGAGATACATCCAAACCAATACAAGCACCAGAATTGAAGAATAAGAAAGCACAATCTATCAACTAATTTATTTGTTTATATGGGCTTCGGTGTTGATATGGTAAGAGAAGAAAAACCTGCAGAGGCGCTCGCAGGCTTCCTCTTGGTAGACAGAATAACGGTCCGCTGCAACGGTAGAGAGCACTTGATGATGAGCACCTTATTGTTATTATGCAGAAAAATTGAGATTAAGATTTTTACCGACGAAGCAGAAAAGAGGAAGAGGGGATATAGGATCTTAATTTTGTTGTCCAGACTTCTTTTTCCCCATTAATGAATTCTTCATGATGAACGTGAAATAACGGAAAGACTGAGTTTTTGTTTTCTCCACGTTCTTTTTCACTTAGGGGGTATGCTATCCACACACCCTATTTTACTTCTCACACACTTCTTGATAATTTCTGTCCGTTGATCTTCTTCAATTCATCCGATCCGACGGCCAAAAATTAAAAAGGTGTGTGATAAGTAAAATAGGGTGGGTGGATATCACATCCCTTTCACTTATTGTCTTGCTTTTTTTTTTCTTTTTTTTTTTTCAATCAATAGTTTTCATTAGATTAGTTATCAACAAAATTCAAACTCATGATATTATGTACAAACTCAGTACATTTCCATCACTGTGGTAAAAGACCACTTGTTTTTTCATAACAGGCCACTTGCCTTTTACTAACATTGAAATAGCTGAGGCAATTACTTTTTGCCCTGCACGTTTATATGGAGATTTTATAATCTTCGTAAAACCATGCCTCCCATCCCACCTTCAACAACAAACCCACCCACTCCCGACGGCTCGGTGGGGGCGTAGTTGGAACCAACCCCAATAGTCTCACTTAGGGATGGGCAAAACATCTACGGGTATGATAACCGCGTTTATCCGTCTATTTAAATTTCACGGTTACAGTTATGGATAATCGTTTACCCGTGAAATATAAATGGGTGCTTATGAGAATTACCCGCGATTACAAACGGGTACCCGTTTATTTAAATATTTGTAAAAAAAAAAAAAAAACAAAACAAAAACTAAACACCCTAAAAACTATTCAACCTCTCCTAGACTCTCATCGCCGCTCATCTCTCTCCTCACTACCCTCTCTCTCATTTCCGCCAAAACAATAGGTTCATTGTCCACTCTTTACTCATCGATAATAGCAATTCTCACCACAATTATTTGTTGCGTGAGTCAACCTTGGAGAATAAGGGATGTGGAGATATTTTGGGTATATAATTATGTAAATGGTATCCTTGTGTATTTGGGATATTTGTTTCCTAATTTATAGGAGTTTATGTAAGCTTATATATTCCTCATTGAGAGAAGAATATTATTAGAACAATATTTACCAAAATCCTAGAATTTTATCTTGGTACTAGAGCAGGATTTGACCTGACTCTTCGTGAAAAACCCTAAAACACAATACAAGCCTTAGCCATCAAAACTTTGGTTATTCAATTCTTGCATCCAGAAATCAAGTTCTGTAGCCCTTGGAAGCAACAAGGCTAAAATTGGTAGTGCAATGGCAGAAGAAAAAATTGGCGCTATAATCCCCATGCAACCCGTGGCGACTCAAAGTGAGTCTGCCAATGTCAATGCCATTCGATTCGGGTTTCGGTTGAGCAACTCGAACTTCAAGGTTTGGTCCAAGATGATGGAGGTTCACGCTTCAGGCCTTAGGAAGCAAGGCTACCTAACGGGTAAAATCCCGGCTGTTGATGAAGATGATTCGGGATATGTAAAGTGGTCCACTGAAGATGTCATCGTGCGCGGGTGGTTGCTTAAAACCATGGAACCACACCTACTTGGCCTCTTTATAGATTTACCCACGGCCAAAGATATCTGTTAAAGTGTCACCTAGATGTTTTATGATGGTTCCGATGAGTCACAATACTATGAACTCCGATGCAAGGCTACAAGAACTAGACAAGATGGTTGTCCAATCAATTTATATTTCACCGAACTAAAGGGCGTTTGGCAGGAGCTGGATAAGAGACGTCCTCTCCATATGGTGTGTGGAGTAGACCTGAAAACTCGAAAAGAAGAAGTTGCAAAGGATAGGGTGTACGACTTTTTCGCTGGATTAGATAGTGGTTTTGATCAAGTTTGGAGTGAAATTCTAAGGATGAAACCTATCCCTGGAATTGAAGAATGCTTCAGTTTGGTACGACGAGAATCCCAGAGGAAGACCACTATGATGGCAACAAAGACTATAATGGCAGTACCCCCTATGGCTATGGCAACCAAGGCATCTAGTTCACGTCCACAGTTTAATGGAAGCACTCGACCATCTCGTACTCAGGAAGAAATTGATAAAGATAAACTCCATTGCATTCACTGTAATGGAACACGACATACAGAGGAGACATGTTTTGAAATTCATGGCTACCCAGATTGGTACTAGGAGAGAAAGAAAGAATTAAAGGCTCATGGAAATAAAAGAAGGGGTCAAGCCCGTGTAGCAGTTACTGGACCAGGAGTAGCGCCTGGTGTACAAGGGGGCCAAATTGGGCTTAAAGCCCAACCTGAAAAAATTGAGGGAGTCAAAGGCTTGGCTGCTATTGCAACAAGCTAGTCGTGGACCACTTCGTCCAACCCAATCGCAGCAGCCCAAGCTGTAATGATCACTTCAGAGGTAGCAGATGACACCGGCCCATTCCTCTCTTTAATCAATCAAATCTCAATGAGTGACAACTCAGAGGATCCAGGTAAAATTGGTATTGTTTTAATAACATCCACCAAAAGAGATACTGGTTGGATAATTGACTCTAGAGCTTCAGATCATATGACTTCTGATGCATCATTATTCTATCACATGACCTCACCATCTAAAGAAGAGGTCATTACTGCCAACGATGATGTTGCTCCTGTAACAGGAGCAGGTTCTATTTCCCTTACTCTATCTTTGTCTATTCACAACACATTACTTGTGTTCCGTCTTTATCCAATCACCTACTTTCTGTTGGTCAAGTTACTGAGCAATTAGATTGTGTTGTGCTAATGTTTCCTACTTTTTGCCTACTTCAGGATATCCAGACTCGGGCGATAATTGGGCATGGTACTAAGAGGAAAGGGTTATATTATGTGGATGATGTATCTGCAAGTCGAGTAAATCAAGTACGTAGCAGTCACTCAAGCAAGAATAAGACACTTTGGTTATGGCATTGTCGATTAGGGCATGCGTCTTTTGGTTATTTAAAAAAATTGCTTCCGTCTTTATTTCATGGTGTTTCAGACTCTGATTTCCATTGTAGTGATTACATTTGTGCGAAAAGTCATCGTACTTCTTATAATTTAAGTTCAAATAAAATAAAAGTTCCTTTTGAGTTTGTTCATTCTGATGTGTGGGGGCCTTCTCCAGTAGTTACTAATCATGGAATTGGTTCATTTGTTATATTTGTGGATGACTGCACCAGAATGACATGAATTTATACTATGAAACATAAAAGTGATGTTGGTCAAATTTTTCACCAGTTTTATTGCATGGTTAAAAATCAGTACTCCCTGCCCCTCAAGGTTCTCAGGTCCAATAATGGTGGGGAATATCTCAATACCGAACTTTCTTACTACTTTCAGGAGCACGACATTCTTCATGAGACTACTTGCTCACAAACCCCGCAACAAAATGGGTTGCAGAACGCAAAAATAGGCACATTTTGGAAACCACTCGAGCACTCCTTATTGGTGCTCATGCTCCACATTCCTATTGGGCGGATGCCGTCAGATACTTTGTTTATCTCATGAACCGAATGCCTTCCCGGGTGCATAATTTTCGCACTCCTATGGAAGTTTTTGCCGACCATGTGACGTTACCATCTTCACTTCGGTTGCAGCCCTGTATCTTTGGTTATGTGACCTATGTGCACCTCCATAAAATCAGCGTAGTAAGTTGTATCCATGTGCGGTTCGATGTATTTTTTTGGGATTTAATGGTCAACAGAAGGGGTATCGGTGTTATCATCCACCTACCAAGCATATGTATATCACCATGGATGTTACATTTTCTGAGCATGAGATGTTTTTTCTTCCTGACCACACCTACTATAATCTTCAGGGGGAGATGAGCGCAGAAGATTATAGTTGGATTGATCTTCCAACTGATTGTGGGCGTGAAATCTGCAGTGGTGGAATATGCCAACCACATGCAAGTGATTGCCGAGAGCAGCCCATCAACATTGCCGAGCCCAATGTGATCAGCTAAGACCCAACAATGGGTTTAAGTAATTGCCGTGAGAAGCCCAGCAACATTTGTGAGCCCAGCAGCACTAGTGAGCCTAATCTGGGCTTACCAAGTTCAAAATATACGGCAAGTGGGCTTGAAGGTTCAAGAGTCGAGGGCTCCTCTAAGCTGATCATGCATTATAAGCACAGAGCGAGTATTGGACCATGCTGCAGTGAGCCGCACTCTCCTACTCAAAGTTTGGACAGCTCAAACACTTCAAATAACCCCTCTCCAGTTGTACCTGTCCATGTGCCCGAGGATATCCGTGAGGTAAGTTTGTCCCAATCTGATGTAACTCATAATTTGACTAACGTTGAAAGTACTTATGTATTGCCGCCTAGAAAAAATCGTGGGAAACCTCCTGACAGGTATTCTCCGGATGGAAAAGTGAGATATGCAATTGCAAGGTATGTCTCTACTCATCGGTTATCTCCCAAGTACCAAGCATTTGTGAATACAATGGATGGAATTAAAATTCCAACTAAAGTGGAAGAAGCCTTGCGAGATCCTCGATGGAAAAAAGCAATGAAGGTTGAAATGGAGGCCTTACAAAAAAATGGAACTTGGAGCATGGAGACACTACCCCAAGAAAAAAAAACAGTAGGGTGCAAATGGGTGTTCACCATCAAACACAAGGTGTATGGAACCATCGACAGATACAAGGCAAGGTTGGTTGCTAAGGGGTATACACAGACCTTTGGAGTAGATTATCAGGAAACATTTACCCCGATAGCAAAGATGAACACTATACGGGTTCTTTTGTCTTTAACTGCTAATTTTGATTGGCCGTTGAAACAATTTGATGTGAAAAATGATTTTCTACAAAGAGATCTGGAAGAAGAAGTATACATGGAGCTTCCACTTGGGTATGAAGTGCATAATAGCACAGGTAAGGTGTGCAGACTACGAAAGGCTCTTTATGGACTTAAACAATCACCGTGGGCCTGATTTGGAAGGTTCACTGATGTGATGAAGAGATATGGTTACCGACAAGGAAATGCAGATCATACTCTGTTTATCAAATGTAAGGGTGAAAAGGTTACCTTGTTAATATATATGTGGATGATATGGTAGTCACAGGTGATGATACAAAAGAAATGGAGAAATTGTAGGAGTATCTCTCTATGGAGTTTAAGATGAAAGATTTAGGAGGTTTGAAGTATTTCTTGGGAATTGAAGTTGCTCGTTCTCGTGATGGTATTTACTTATCTCAGCGAAAGTATGTTCTTGATCTTTTGGCTGAGACAGGGATGCTGGCATGTAAACCAGCAGAAACACCTATAGTTCAAAATTATCAGTTGGCGAATTACCTGGACTAGGTTCCAGCAAACAGGGAAAGATACCAAAGGTTAGTAGGAAGGTTGATTTACTTGTCTCTCACGAGACCAAATATTGCATATGTTGTTAGTGTAGTAAGTCAATTTATGCACTCTCCTAGTGAAGATCACATGGCTGCAGTAATGCGAATTTTGAGTTATTTGAAAGGTGCACCTGGAAAATTATTGATTTTTAAGAAACATAGGCATTTAGAGATCAAAGGGTACATTGATGCTGATTGGGCTGGGAATATTACTGATAGACGTTCTACATCAGGGTACTTTACATTTGTTGGAGGAAATCTTGTGACTTGGAGGAGCAAGAAACAGAATGTGGTTGCTAGGTCAACAGCAGAGGTCGAGTACTGTGGTATGGCACATGGGGTTTGTGAATTATTATGGCTGAGGATTCTTCTTACAGAGATCAGGTTCAAGCATGTAGAGCCATGCTATTGTATTGTGATAATCAAGCTGCGAGAGAAATAGCTAATAATCCAATTCAGCATGATCGTACAAAACATGTTGAGGTGGATAGACATTTTATCAAAGAAAAGTTGATTGACAAGTTGGTGGAAATTCCGTATGTAAGATCTGAAGACCAGTTGACTGATGTGTTAACTCATGCAGTATCAGCGAGAGTGTTTCAGGACTCACTTGACAAGTTGGGCTTAGGTGATATCTATGCACCAACTTGAGGGAGAGTGTTGCGTGAGTCAACCTTGGAGAATAAGGAATGTGGAGATATTTTGGGTATATAATTATGTAAATGATATCCTTGTGTATATGGGATATTTGTTTCCTAATTTATAGGAGTTTGTGTAAACTTATATATTCCTCATTGAGAGAAGAATATTATTAGAACAATATTTACCAAAACCCTATAATTTTATCTTTATTGACCTTCGTTAGCTCAATAAGAATACGGGATTCCTAGGTACGGGGCACTTGAAACCTACATCCATGACAGAGTGATCTATCTTTCTTTCGAAAACCGGATTGCTGTTCCAAGCCTGTCATCTGGAATGTTGCCTTTCAATTCTGCACTCAATGCCCTCACAACATGGGCTTACTGCCTTCACAATCTATACATCGATTGCAAGTTTTGCAATCAAAAAGTCATCATTCCGCCTGTTGTATCATGGGCTGATGTTGTCTCAATTGTTGCCATGACAACCATGCATCATCTGGTATTAGCTGAAGCATGCTTAATGCCGACCTCATTAATCTTTATATTTTATTTTTATTTTAGAGTTATTGTTGATTTATCGGGATGCTACTTCACATTTCTTTTGTAGGCTTCTTTTGGTGACAAAAAGTCGATGAAAAAGTTCCTATTATTTTAATTTTCAAAATAGTCTCTGAGAACTTCAAAGATTGAAATACGGAAATGCATGTTAAATATTCTTAGAGCGGCGTTTGATTGTTAGAAATTAAAAATTATGATAAAGTTCTTTTTAATTTTCAACTTGTAAAAAGAAAAAAAATTACACATAGCGTATACTTTTAATACTTAATTTTATATTGAGACAACACTATTTAAACATTACAAAGAGAGACAAAAGTTTAATACATGCGAAAGATGACATCATTCCCTTTTTTTCTCTGGAGTTAAGTTACGAAAATCCCCTTATATATAATAACCCTTTTTTTTCTAAAATACAAAGACAGAGACGGAAATATTCGAAAAACAGATTCGGTAATTGGTTTTCTGGCATTTTAAGCATATATGCCTAACCTAGAGAGACTCGCACATTCTCAGTGCCATAATTCTTCTATATGTCCTATCTTTCTCTCTTTGTGTGTCTGGTTATCTTAAACCTTCAAAGGCTAATATCAAAGAAATGACTAAGAAGGGAAGACACACTTCGGTTGGGAGATGTGTTAGTTTATTTTAGATGATTGTTTGGCAACAAAAGCCTCATCCCAAATCTAAAAATACAAAGACCTAGATCAATTTGCTTTATTTTTTTAGTTATTATTTTAGGAATCTTTTGGGTGAGCAAGAACTTTGGTTGACAATTGCTTCCCAGTTTATAACGTAAAATCTTGCATAAGTAAGATAGATTAAACAAAACTTAGGAAACGACCAAGAATTTGCAGATTAAGAATTTGATCTGCACTTTCGTCAAACTGCATACATTTTGGAGATTAATGATAAAATTCTCGTTATGGTAGTTAATGATGAGGAGGGCAAAGATGTGCTTGTGTTATTGTATATATCTTGCGAGCATGCTCCAAAGGAGAGGGATTTCAAGGGAGTAGCAAGTACTCGAAGAAACATCATATTTTATTTGGTTTTGACTTGATCGAATGATACGCAAGCAGATAGTTTTTTGGGACATTTTTATCCATACTTCTAAAATGTTGCGGTGTTTTTTAAGATAGTTCTCCATCTTCAAATTTTTTATTTTTTTAATTTTTTTTTGAGTAATTTTAAAATTTGATGCTTAGGTTCTTCACATCTTCACTCCGTAATAGAGAAACCATTATTCTTTATGTGGAATGAATGATATATCCATACACAAGTTGAAGTCATTTCCCTCTATGAAGCACCTTAAGTGGTTGAAAAGCCTTATTAGAAAGAAAAAAAAAATCTTTAACCACTTGCTCTAATAACGGGTAAAATGACACCATTCACGTGAGTTTATAGTTACTTTCAAGAAAAAAGATCCAATGTACCTTAGGTTTGATAGAATCACAACGGAAAGCAATGAACTATCCCCATGATATTGTTCCCTCTCCAAATCATGTCGGTATTAACCACGTCAGCATTTTTAAAAGATGAGGTATGATAGTGTTGTTCGATCCATGGTTGAGGTAATTTTGTGTAATTTATCCTATTATTTTATGAGGATAAACAAAATGCATGAAAGTACCACATGATAAAAAGTGCCACTGGGAAACGATGGCCCTGAGTTTTGGTGACAGAACTTAATAAAAAAATGCATACATTTCTAACCTCGTTCAAAAGTCAAAAAACAAAGCTTAATGACAAAATAATTAACCAACTATACATGATGTTATTCTTTATTATAATTTATAAATGGAGAATGTAGGAGGAAACACTCAATGCATCAATATAATGGGAAGCCTAAGCCTAAGCCTTCGGTATCTACAAAAATATGCGGCAATGTCCAAATCTTGGTAATCCGTGAAATTTCAAGATCTTCATCCTCCTTATATGCTTGTAAAATTTATAATTGTGTTCAAGAGGTCTAAGATAATCAATTGAATGGTTAAGATGATATGATGGGATATATACGAACCTAATTCGGAGTGCGTGAGGCTACATCTTGGGTTGTTGAGCACTTTGATCATTAGCCCAATCAAATTCACCAATCTTTTGTGCCTAACCTTCGCAACCATAGCCGCCTCCGCCTACTTTCAGATACAATACAAACAACTCCATCAGCTAAGAAACTCACAATTTTCCCTAATTATAAAACCAAGAAATGGAAACGAAAAGAAAGGAAAAAAAAAGAAGCAGAACACTTAGTACCTGCAAATCACAATGTAATATAAAACCAAAATGCACATCAATATTCTAATTTTCTTAGCAAAGATTGTGACCTTGACCAAAGTTTCCAAGTTAACCTTACAAATGAATGTCAGCAACATTAACAAAGTAATGAGGTTCTGCATCTTCTCCACCACCAACATCAATCCGTGATCTCTGCCCTGCCGAAGACAATAATATAACCGAAAGAAAAAAAAATATATAAAAATAAATAAATTATATCTATATGTGTCAATTGATTTCCAAGTAAGTGAATTTATATATATGTATCTGTATATATTTGAACAGAAGCAAGCTGGTTTTCATTGTGTCAAAATATACACACCCACAATTAGAGAGCTATTAGCTTAGCTGGAGTTTTGCTTGGTCGACTATTGTTACAGGTTAAAAAGGGAGACATGATATTAGTTTGGCTACTAATTGATTAGTTTCAAATGGAAGAAAGGATTAAGGAACAAACTACTTCACTTTTGATCAACCTGTAGCTTGCATATATGGGTAAACATCCAATTTTTTTTGTTCTTCTAATGACTGGTTATAGGTTTCTATTTATAGAATTAATATGGCTTATGGTTTAGAAAAGTATGAAGCAGAAATTTTAAGCATCGTTGTAAGTAGAGGTCAACATAATTAAGAAATGACTTTACAGGGACCCTCGTTCCATTCAAGATCAACCCAACATTCTTTAAGCCTCACCCAAACCTCTACATTCATTAAAATGAAATCTCAAAAATTTTGTTATGTTGGCTTTCAATGCCATTTCCATGTTCACCATCTTCTTCCTCCAGCTTTTTTACTCTGCGCATGTTGAGGCCTCAAGACCTCTTATAAGGCCATCTCTAACCGAATGAGGGCCAGAGGGCTCCTTTTAGCCCTATAGTCCTCCAAGAAATTAAGGCCATCTCCAACCAAAGGGCCGAAAATAGCCCAAAAACCGTCTCCAACCGAGGGCTCGTGAAATCTGAGATGGCCCCACGGAATTTGAAAGGGCCAAAGGGCTGGCTAGAAAAAACATTAATCTTGTCGGTAATAACCAACATGAATGCTTAAGCTAAAATTCAAATGGAACGGCTAGCTAATGTCAGCTAGCCGTTGCGTTTGATTTTTCTTTTTTTTTACAGTTTTATTATTTTTTTTTATTTACAAAATTTTTCCTATAACTTCTATTTTTCATATTTTTTTTTAAATTCTATTTTTTTCCTATAACTTTTATTTTACAAAATTTGTTTCATATTGTTTTTAAATTCCATTTTTTTTCCTATAACTTCTATTTCACAAAATTTGTTTCATTTTATTTTAAATTCTATTTTTTTCCTATAACTTCTATTTCACAAAATTTGTTTCATATTTTTTTTAAATTATATTTTTTTCCTATAACTTCTATTTTACAAAATTTGTTTCATATATATTTTTTAAATTATATTTTTTTCCTATAACTTCCTAAGCCATTATACAACATTAAATTAAATTAAGTAACATGAAACAACATTAAACAATATGAAACAACATTAAATAACATTAACCAACATACAAATTATACAACATAAAAAAAACATTTAACAACATGAAACTTAAACAACATTTTTAAAAGCATTTAACAACATAAAACTTAAACGCCTACTCCATGCTTCTTTTGGCCCAAAGATGTGCAACAAGATCTTGTTGTAGGTACTTATTTGTGGCACAAGAACGTATCATTTTATAACGCCTCATGTACTCATTTATAGAGATACTACCAGTTCTTGGATTGAAAGGAAAATTAGGCCCATCATATATTTTTGCACGAGTCCTTCTTGACCTATTTGGATCTTCTTGGTCGTCATCGGACTCTCCATTAATATACCCATCTCGCTCATCCTCCACTATCATATTGTGTAATATGATGCAAGACATCATGATGGAGTCCAAATTTTCTCGAATCCACCCTCTTGCCTATTCGCTGATGATCTTACACCGTGCTTGTAGAATACCGAAAGCTCTCTCAACATCTTTCCAGTATGCCTCTTGGTGTAAGGTAAACAACTTTTTTGCGTCATTCCTAGGATTTGGAATTGCTTGGACAAGTGTCGCCCACTTTGGGTAGATGCCATCTGCCAAGTAATACCCCATATTGTATTGACGGCTGTTGATGTAGTAGTCAAGTTGAGGTGTTTTACCTTCCGTCAAGTTATTGAAGAGGGGTGAACGCCCAAGAACTATAATGTCATTTTGGGATCTAAGGACTCCAAAGAAAGCATGGCAGATCCATGTGTCATATGAGGAAACCACCTCTAACACAACAATTGGCTTTCTTGACCTTCCGCTAAAGCCTCATTGCCATCCGGTGGGATATTTCTTCCAATCCCAATGCATGTAGTCTAATGACCCTATCAGCTGGGGAGCCATAGGCCATCATTCGGAGTGCAACAATAACCTTCTGATGAGGTGAGAAACCAGGGCGGCCTGCTCTGTCCCGTTTCTGTCTAAAGTATGGATTGACCTACTGGACATCACGAAGTAAACGCTCGAAGACATGACACCTCATTTGGAAGCGACATCTGAAATCTTCTTCTGTGTACACCAAGTTGGGGTTGAAGTAGTTGTTCATCAGATTTGCATGCGCCATCGCTCTGTTTCGTGGTTTGTAAGACCGACCAGCAACAGAGCCACCCCATTGAGGTTGTTCCTCAGTTGGCTGACACACCATGGTCGCAGCCATGGCTGCTGCTCTGTTTTGTTTGTTACGCCTAACTTGAACTTTTTCATCAGACTCATCATCTTCTTGTCTCATTTGCGCCCATTTTGCTTCCAATTTGGAATTAGATGAGGACCCCCAGTTGGAATCCG